ACACCGAGGGTTGCGATCCCGTTGCCAGTCAGTAAAAAAGACAAAAAGGAAAAAAAAAAGTTAACTGTGTCTATAGACGTGTGTGTGTGTGTGTGTGTGTGTGTGTGTGTGTGTGTTTGTATATAGTTACACCTACTGTTTTTCATCAGCTTCGCGGCTGTGCAGGAATTAAAGAATACGAAACTGTGTCTATAGACGTGTGTGTGTGTGTGTGTGTGTGTGTGTGTGTGTGTGTGTGTGTGTATATATAGTTACACCTACTGTTTTTCATCAGCTTCGCGGCTGTGCAGGAATTAAAGAATACGAGTACCTAGAACGTTGCAGCTCTTTTCAACTAACAATTGGCAAGGGATTCATTGTCATCTCACACGATCCTCCCAACAACACAAGGGAAATATTCTAAACTCCATTTGGGAGATGAGGAGACTGGAGCTTAGAGAAGCTAAATTCTTACCCACATGCACCCTGACCTGCCCTCGGTCCCAGAGCTGGGAGACAAGTGGCAGGAACGCACTGGTCCTCCGGCCTTCCTAGCCTCCTCCCACCTTTCCAGGCAAAGGCCATTTTAGGAGGGAGTTAAGAGTGGATGCCTGAGAAATAATAATAACAATAACAATATCATAGAGCTTACCCAGTAACAGGCCCTGTTTCAAGTACTGTACATGTGACATTTAGCCCTCACAACCATCTCAAGAGGTAGGAACTATTATCATCGTGCCCATTTTACAGATAAGGAAACGGAGGTGCCGGGAAGGTAACTGACTCGCCCAAGGTCACAAGGGAGTTCATGTGGCATATCCCAGGATTTGGACCTGGGCAACCTGGCTGAGCCCCAGAGTCTGCTGTCCCACCTGGGCTGTGAGCAGAAATGGCTCAGGACAAGGAGGGACATGAGCCAGGCAAACCTGGGACTCGGGCCTCCCTTGCACTTTCAGGGAGAGCTGAGGGGCTGCAAGGAGGGCATGCACCTACAGGGGACACTGACCTACTCAATTCCTGGTGGGATGAGGAGTGAGGGGTGGACAGACAGACATGGCCAGAGATGTCAGTGCCACTCCATGCAGGCCCAGCCAGGCCGCTGCTCAAAGATGAAAAGACGTGACCTCTGACATGACCAAAGCTGCTCCAGTGCAGCTGAGAGCCAGACATGATGTTATGTGTGTACGGCCACATTTCTGCAGACACTGTGCAAAGTGCTCCATCCCAAGTCCCCACTCCTGCCTTCCTCTCAGGCTCAGACACCAGTCCACTGCCAACGAGGTGGGATTCTGGGGAGACGCCTGGCATGTCTCCCTCCTCTCTCTGCCTTCCACCCTCTTATCTCATACTTGTCCTTTAAAACTCAGTTCAGGTGCTATCTGCCCAGGAAGCCGTGGGCTCCCAGGCTAGGTAATGACCCCGCCTTGGCTTTTTGGGGCATTCTGGGCTTGCACGGGGCCCAGTACTATCTCTGTTTTGTACCTGTGAGGAGCTCCTATGGGAAGGGTCCCTAGTGAAGCCATTTCCTCATCCCTGGTGCCTGCACAGCCCTGCACGGGAGTGTGGATGCAGTCATTTCTTCTTCAAGGAAACACTTGGTGGTGATCATCAACCTGGGAAGATCATGAATTCAGGGGCAGCATGGAGTGATGGCTAAGAGCCCAGGTTCTGCAAACCTGGTTCAAATCCCGGCCCTCCCACCCCCTGCCTGTGTGCCTTGGGCACTAGTATCCATCTCCCTGAGTCTCACTGTGGCCCTGATAGGGGTTAAAGTGAGACTGCTAGACCGAGTGCTCAGCACAGTCCCTGGCATTCACAAGAGCTTAGTGCGTGTCCCCGTTATTGTCATGAACACCAGTCAGGTTTCCTCCAATTGTGGGAGGTCAGCACCCATATCCCTGTCTTCTCTCCAAATTCCAGGAAGACCTCAGGAACCCCTCAGTGGGCACCTCTGGAATATCTTCCCAGCATACAAAGTGGGACGACACCCAAGCTTAAATTCTGAGCCCCTTGAACCCAGAGCCCACAATGGTACTTTCTACGTGGCTTTTATTTAATAAAAGCCAAAGATGGCTTTTATGTAATAAAATATAAACTCAAGCCCATAAGGACCGGTAATGAATTTGTGCGGGAAGGTAAGTATTATTCATAATGAAGCATCAATTGGCAGTCTCACCAAGCTGAAATATGTGGTTTGGAGCCCATTCAACAAGATGGGGAGAGCCTGGGCGGTGGAAGGTACATGAACTCTGGGCTGTCAGAGCCCTGGTTTCAAATTCTGCTCATCAGCCTTGCACCTCTGGACAGTAATGTAATCACAAGTATTTATTGAGAGCATATTATGTGTCAGCACCAAGCTAAATGCTCTGCATCCCTGATGCCTTCACTCTGTGAAGTGAGTATTCCCGTTTTATTGATGAGGAGACTGAGGTTCAGAGAGGAGAAATCACGTGCCCAGAGCCACACAGCTGGCAAGTGGCCAAGGCTGGGTTTTAAACCATGTGAATGATCACTATTTCCAAGACATCCCAAGCTTGCAAACTCCTCACAGTCTCAGTTTGTTCTTCTACAGACTGGGAAAATACCCAACACGGTTTTTATGGGGCTTCTGTGAAGTACAGTTAAGCCGTCTGCACAACTGAGTGGATGATCAGTGGATATATTTGTGTCTGTCTCCATACCAGACTGCTGTGACAGGAGGGTCTGAGTCTAGTTTATGGTGGCCAAAGGGCCCAGAGAATGCCCAATGAGAAAGATGTTTCTTTCTCCAACCCTCGGTTTACGTGTTTCTTAAAACAAGAGTGATAACACCTGCCTGGAAGAGTCCCTGGGAAGACTGAATGACATGAGGGAATTAAAGTGCTTGGCACGTAGCAGGTACTCAGGCAGTTCCTCTTTCATCTTTGTGCCCAACACTGTCTGGAACGGGGTTTTCTGGGTCCTGCCCTGGCGGTGGATGTACATGGAGCCATTCACATGCTCTCCTCTGCATCTTCCCATCATCCACCCCTCACTCAGGCCCTCCTGTGTGGCTGTGCTGGGGGAGGGGGCTGGTTGGGAGGAAGGGTCTGGCAGCTGTTCTGGGTAGAGCCAGCTGCTGTAGGTTCAAGGGGCTCCACCCCCCCCCCCCC